CGTTTTTCCAATTGTCCTCAAGTCGTGCCTAGACGTAAAGTGTTTTAAACGCTTAAACAGGGTTTAGCAAGCTGATACGCACGCTAATAAAGTCTTAAAGGCATTAAAAGTTTTGCTTTATAGGAATAGGAAGCTTGCAGAGTGCTTTTCACTAAATATCAATGCTTTAATAATGCGCATAAGCAAATTAACGCAAAATATTTCGTGCTAGAATAAAGCCACAAGTGCAAAAGTTGCAATCACAGCACAAGCTCGAGGTGGGTGCCTATGGTTGCCAGGGAAACCGGACGCTCTCGCGTGTTGTCATGAGAATTAAAACGCAAGCTTTCCGGCTTCCATAGTTACAGACGCTGCAGGTCACGGCTGCACAAATACAACTCTGTTTATTCCAGTCTTTATTGGCACTTTGTTAAAAATCCATTGCAATTAATGAAAACTAACAAGGGTTTTAAATAGCAAGATTTTGTAATAAACATCATAAAACTTTTTTTTTCTGAATAAAAACAACATATATTTAAAAATAAAACAAATGCAATCAAACGAAAAAGACTTCGAAGGTTGCCAAGGACATTAGAATACATTTTTTTTAATTACAATAAAACAATAAAATGAGCGTTTATGTATATATATATATATATATATATATATATATATATATATATATATATATATATATATATACATATATAACGGATTGCTAAATTATGTAAAATGTAAAACATATATAACGTTTATAACATTGCCAAACTCACAATACAAAATTAAGCTTTGTTTTTGCAACAAAACCTAAGTCAGGTTTTAGGGGACAGAACAGATATTAAGTCTCATCAGGGAAGATTTCAGTCCACTGGGAAGTGTCTAAGAAGATGGAACAGCAGCCACTGTAAGTCCATAGCCTGGGAAGGAAGCACGCCACCTTCCAAGTGTTGGATGCTCGGTTGTATACTTCCACTTCCACACTGTAATCCCCCTCCATGCCCTTCCAGTGCCCCCCAGTCACATACAATTGCCCACCTAGAACCACCAAATCACCATTTTCATGAAGAGTGTGTAGAAACTGAATCTGGGAAGAAAAACAGCAAACATAAAAAATCAGTCACAACAGAATATTAAGGTTCAGCTAACTTTGTATATGCTTCTAGATTTTCTGTGTAAAAAGAATTATGAATATCATCTATAACTCACCTTTTCCCACATATTACCCTCTGGGTTATACAGATAGACCTTTTTTGTGTTATCTGCTACGAGGTAAATGGCTCCATCCATAGAAACAGAGCGGGGAGAAGAGAGATATTTAGGAATGAAAGGAGAACAGATGATACACCAGCTATCTGTTGAAGAAGAAGAAAAAAATCTTATTAACAAAAGTATACAGAGTATTGAACTCTAGTCACGATTAGATGTTGGCAGTGCTCCATGAGTGACATTATAATTTAGCTACACTGTGTCTTGTAAAGTGTCTCATAAAATTGTTCTGAATTATTAGTTCCAACATAAAACTGTTTGTAATAGTAGAAAGCTGTTATGACAAACGTGGTTTGTTTTTACTGATACTTGTAATGTATATTAATAACACTTAAATACATCCTAACCATGGTGACATGTGTTGCCTCTTACCTATGACAGGATTGTAGCACTGCATAGTCAGGGCATTATATTTAACAGCACAAGAACCAATGAGGTAAAGCTTTCCTTCACATGATATGGCTGTAAAGTTAGTCACATACTTCAGTGCTGGGCCCGTAAGAGTCCAGCAATTACTGAATGGGTCATAATGTTCAACTTCAACAAAATCCATAGTAGTTCCTGTCAATGAAAGACAATGCCGTTTGTTACCCAAAAATGCCCAGTTTTGCATGAAGATCTAAACAAAACCATTTGTCTGAAGCCTCCAGTTGGAAACTGGTTTGTTTGCTTACCCCCAATTACATAAATCTCTCCATTGAGAGTTGCAGAAGAATGGTTAGTCCTGGGCCGCAACATTGGGGCGACTGTGACCCACTTCCCCTAACGAGTGATGTACTTCCAGGTCTCTGTGGTGGACCAGGTGTTGGACTGAGACCCTCTTGAGCCTCCTGTGAGATAGCAAACGTTTGTGAAAGGGATTTTTTCTCATTCCGTGTAAATTCACATGAAGGCTTTGCTGATTTATTTGAATAAATTCTCAGTTCAACTGGAAAGTTCAAATGTTCCAGTTAGTTACCAGGCAACATCAGGCAATAATGCCTCAAGTTTCCCAGGTCATCACAAAGTTAATGTTCTGCTTTATTGTGCTTTAGTCCCCACATTTCTAAAGTGGGTTCAGGTCTTATGTGAGTTTTAGCAGGATTGTCTATAAGACAGGGGGCTGTTTTATCTTAGCGTCTCCAAATCCTCAGTGGAGATGACATTCCATTCATGTGTGCAATAAAACCATAAATCTCACTGATCCTTTCCCAAAGGGCCTAGTCTCTATAAATACCCTGAAAATCTGTGGATTTGTTTTCTCTATGTAAAAATAGAATTTGTCTTCTGCTCTCTTTTTTGGTATCATTTCATTCTCATTTCTTCAGTCTCTCTGTTCTTGTCATTATGGTTTGAGGCATACAGTCCACACCAACCAATCAGCAAATTATCCATATGCCAATATATATATATAGTGAAAAAAACATTTTATGATATGTGAGATACAGACTTTAGCAACAACTAAATATCTTACCTGTGACATATACATTGTTATTTAAGGAGACGACAGAATAACCCCATTTATTGTAGTTGGGAAAATCAGGTAGCTGAAACCACTGCCCTATGAAAAAAATAATAAAATGCACTTAAAATCTTGCAAATGTATACAGTATGTAGAGTGAAATAGAGTAAATGAGACCTTATCCTATATAAATGAACAATGTGTAGTCTTTCTCGGTTACTTGCATCGAAACATCCCTGTTTATTTGTCAGCAAAATTTCACCGAATTACATAAAATGCATCTTCCACTGGAGTTTTGACAGATCCAGTGCTTTTGTAAAACTACAGATGATGCTTCTGCATTTTTGTACCCCTGCTCACAAACAGTTGGATCAAGTCCAGTGCATTATGGGTGTTGCACGTTTTTCTACCTTTTTGGCAAAAGGGAACATCACAGCCTCTATTCATTGTTTTCTCTAGTCATGTAGCACTGGATTTTATATTGCCTTTCTACTGCTTAGTATGTTTAAACTTGACTGGTAGTGTGCACATCAGATCTGTGTTCCACATTAACCTAATTCTCCTTTTATAAATTTACAAATAGAGATGATGTATCAGCTAAAGCTGTCCTTACCAAGCTTTGGGTTGTAATAACCACAATTCCTGGGGTATAACCTTCTATCGCTGTCTTCATCTTCATCCTCATCTTCGTCATCTTCGTCATCCAGCGAGCGACCACCCATCACAAATAAAACCTCCTGCAGGTTGAGTGTTTTCTCATTGACTCTTTGCTCTGACTCACCTCCTGTATTTTCCCGTTTCTGAAGAAAAAAAAAATTGTAGTATGGAACATTATGTTTAAGAAATCTCTACATAAAAGAGATTTGTCTGACCTCTCTACATATTCTCTCCACAAACTCTTTGGATTGTAGCGAGTCTTGTACCAATGGCTTTTTAAGCAAATTCTCAGTAAGGTAGGATTCTGTGAGGAGGGAAATCTTAGCCAAGCCCAACAATTCGTGCAGGTGGCAGATTCGACTGTCTCTACAATGCCCGACCCAGGCCAAAACAGCCTGGACACAAGACCGGTCATCTCTTATGTGCAGATCCTCATCCTTCAGGCAGGCCACCAGCCTGTCTTTCTCCAGCGTCAGGAACTCCTCATGTTGTTGCACTGCCTCAAAGTTTTCAAGGAGGAAGCTCCATGCTTTGGCAACAACTTCAGGGCAGCCATGGATCTCTCCAAACTCAAGGATTCCCAAGCAGTTAGTGGCATCTATCTGGTGCTGCAGATATCGACTGCATACACTACGGACAGTGTGGAACTGGAGCTGGCTGGACGTGCAGACGAGTCCCTCTACATTGTTTTTGTTGATGGTGAGTTTTCCTGTATAAGCAAAGTCCAACAATGACGACAACACATTGGGATCTACATCATGAAGCTCGACACGAGCAGCAATGCTCTCCACAAAATCTCCTGAGAACATGGAATGGAAGTAATGGCTGCAGAGTGCAAGGATTCCCCGGTGACAGGGGAAATCCCGTCCACCAGCGCTCAAGGTGACATCCACAAGTTTGGGTTGAGAACAGAGGGAGTGAAGACCCTCTAACATGCTCTGTGGATGGGAAGAGAGGCAGAAGTCTAGATCGTCTATATTACGCACCATGACGACACTCTGACCTATGGCCTCAATGCATTCAGGGCCAACCAACAGATGTTTTCAGTGTTTACCTACAACACAAGACAAATGGGTATAATCAGTCACATGCAATCCGATTGCGACATTCTTGATCATAGTAGTGTGGAGCCTCCTATGACCTAAGAACAAATTTTCGGCCTTTCTACTTGGTAACAGAACATTTCAGGAACAAACTGGAAGAGAATGAAGTCATGTTAGCACATCAATATAAGTCAAATTATCAGACGATTATTGCCAGAGTTAAAAACAGGTTCTTGCCAAAAACAATATATCTGATAGGCACACTGGGAGAGTATAATTCTGAGAATGAATCTTACTACCACTCAATATTAATTTATTTGCCTGTTAGAGAATTTGCACACAAAATCCCCCCCCCCCAAAAAAAAATCACTGGAGAAACAACAGTGGATGTTAATCAATTCTATTTAACACAACAAATCAAGACAACATAGGAATTAAACTTACCTGCTTGTGAATGAAAGCAGAAATCATACATTATTCACAGTACTTGTTTAGAAGGCAGACTTTTTTGTTGCTGCTGTCTGAGATGGGGGACACGCTGTCTTTTGCAGAGTCACTGGGACAGCATGCTTATCTTTCACATTGCTATTTTTAGGCCAGACATTCTGCGGGGCTATACTCAGCATCTAAATAGTACGGTTAAGCTCCCACCTGCTCTTAAAGAGATACACACAACTTTCTGTATAAGAGTAAGCAGTCAGATTGTTATTTATTTAATCATTAGCGTAAGCAGCCTCCAATATTGGTGCAAATTAAGTCTCTAAACGTGTTGATTCTCAAGGAGTAACAAAAATTCAACAGAAAAGGGCATTTAATTTGTTTTAAATCACATATTGATAATTCTGACAAAAAGACAAACACTTCAGTTTATGGCAGTCTTCTACCTTGCACTCCTGGAAATTTGGAGAATAAATGGCAAAAGCATGCCTTACATGTCACAACTGTATAAATATTGGTACCAGTTCTACATCAAATTCAAAAAAATAAATATATTTAAAGATAATAAGGAATCTCTATGTACATTTCCCCCCAAAAAGACTTATTGTCATTCCTCAAAATCAAATATCTCAGCCTCCTTTTCTTTCCAGAAAGCAAAACTACGGTCAATATATTTGCAAATCTCCTCATTAGTCAGACTACTAATATCAGAATTATTTTTCAGGACATCGCTCTCATCTGGGGTGGGCGTTTGTACAATGACTTTAGGCACAGGCCTCGTTTCTACCATTGTGGTCTGTTCTGAGTGTTCAAGTTCTGGTTGGCCTGATCCATCTCCGAAGAACTTCACTTTAATGTCCTCAAATCCATCCTTCCATTCCCGGTTTCCTGCCTCAATGTCCTGAATTACAGCCTTGTGGAAATCACGCACAGTCTCCCAGGTGAAACGCCCCACATGGTCGAACACTTCAAAGCACAGCAAGTGTCTCATTTTCCTCTCATCTGCTGGCAATTCTAGCTCAAGTATGTGAAAGTAGCCGAGCATGAAGAGGTCGAGTGTCAGTGCGTCATAGTCAACGGGAGATCCATCCACACGGGGCAGGAACTGCTCAGGTGAAAAAATTGCCTGCTGCCGGTTGAGTCTCCGGATCTGTCGCGAAGGTACAAATGAGATCATGCTTCTCCAGTTACCAATCATCTTATTGATGGCACTTCTCTGCTTGAAGAAATGCCCGAATTTGCCATTTTCCATGGTGTTCTTCGGAGAGATATCCAAGCTAGCTTTGCGTTCACACTTCAGCTTCTTAGATATATCCAGCGAATCAACGCTTTGCTTCCTCTGTGCATTTCTCACGGTTACAGTATAAGCCGACTTCTTCCAGTGACCCAGGAACAAGACCACAATACGTTCCTTGCGCAGTGTTGTGCTTTCCATGTCATCACTGATGACATAGTCGATAGATGAATCATCAATATGGTCAACCTCTGGTCTTTGTTCTTGTTTTTGGGAGACCTCATCTGAACCATTTTTTACTGGTTCTTGCTCTAGTTCACCCAGTGATTCTGTCATCCCTGAATCCATTTGTGAGGAATCGTTCTGATTCTCAAAGTTGGATTTTAAGTTCCTCACAGAGACCCCAAACTGTTGAATCTCATTTTCTATCTTCTCCCTCCTGCCTCTGTTGACAGCTTGCCTCTCTGACGGCTGAGAGAAGACATTCACAAGCTCTGAATTTGGCATTTTGCAGTAGGGCTGGTCTGTTAGGTTGGTCATAAGCAGTGACATACTCTTCACAATGCCTGAAATACGGTTGCACCAAACGGGTAAGGGAGTCTGTGTAGAGTTCTTGTACTGGGTATTGACTGTGATGTTGACAATGGGTGCCGGGAGAATGTTTCGAAGTTCTTCAGCCAGACGAGCAAGCTCCATTTCATAGCCCTCACAGTTCTTTTGCATTGAGACACTCTCAATTTGCTTCTCTAGATAAATGAGGTCATCCTCTGTTAGAAGCTCTCCGAATGGACCCAGGATGGCATTGTGAGCATGGGAGTACCTCCAACTGTCCATCTTTGTATATCTACTACCACTCTCCTGTTAAGTAAGATAAAATGTCCAGTTAAGAGAGATAGCTGCAGTCAGAGCATGCATCATCTCAGATTTGTTATCTATGTATTTAAAAGACATTTCATGCAATATTTGTAGCTCACCTTTATCCTCTGGGTTTCTTGGTCAAATAAGCTGGCCTGTAGCTGTCGTACCATTACTTGTCTCTTCCATTCTGCTATAGGTCTGCCCTTCTCATCGTGCATGGGTACCAGGTAATCAATATCAGACAAATTAGCCTCCTCTGTTGGTAACACCACCATTTTATTCTAAAAGAGAAAAGACAATCATTTATTGGCAAGCAATGTAGTTCAAATTGTGCCCTTAAGTACATGAAAAACAAAAACAGCACTTGGATAATATGAAATCAAAAACTTAATTAACTTGGATGTTAAAGTTCCTTTTTTGTATTTTCTTCTACATTTTATGCTAAAGTGCTTTAGTACATTTCAGAAAAGTTAAAGTCAATAAATAAGCTACATTCACATGGTTAGTGTATACGGACTGACAATCATATTTACTAAGACAACTGGAGAATAGTTCTGTTCACACAACAGCTTTAGTATCATTAAAAAAGTTAGATTTAAAGGGGTCATATGATGCTATTTTAAAGATCATTATTTTGTGTATTTGGTGTAACAGAATATGTTGACATGCTTTAATGTTCAAAAAACACATTATTTTTCAAATACTGCACATTATTGTAGATCCTCTATGCCCCGCCTCTCTCAAACACGTCGTTTTCAACAAAGCCCCCTCCTTTGACAAGCGCAGTCTGCTCTGATTGGCCAGCTGACCCAGTGCATTGTGATTGGCCGAACACCACAAGCACGCATCGGAAATGTAACGCCCCTTACCATAATTGCGAGCTTCAGCTTTCAAAGTAAATATCAAGACAGTTAATAATGTCGTTAGTTTTACCATCAGTTCAAGGCCGAAAGGGCAACAGAGTCGCGTGCACATTTGGGCGGCATTATGCTAATATTTCCACATAGTGATGTAGACATGTTGGGGCGTGTTAGAACGAGCCGTTTTAGGTAGGCGTGGTTGACTCTTAAGTCTTTGCAACTTTACAGATCTTCTTTATGCACCAAGAGCTTGTAACACTTCAAAGAGAAAGGAAAACTTGAAATCGCATCATATGACCCCTTTAAAATTTAAGTCTAACAAAAAGGACCATGGATTTCACTGGAAATGTGTGTGTGTTGTGTATTTTTATGCTAATGACAACTAATAATAATGCCTGCAACCATACTGACAGATATGTAGTAAATATTCAAGACAGTGAATTCCATTACACTGGAAATGTAAAATGTATGGAGGATTTATGACTAAACTAAACTAAACAATGACTGGATCTAAAACCTCTGCCTTTCCATCTCCATAAGTTATTGGATCCCAAAATATAAAAAATACATTGTGTCCAGTGCAAAGTGGATAAGTTTGATGTGATCACACAACAACTAGTTACGCAGTACGTTTCTGTTCTCACAGAAAGGTAACTGTACATCTTGAAAATGTAAGTCTGTTCGGTTATAGAATGCAGTTGTCATGTAACTCTATATAGCATTCTAATACAGGAATGACAACTGTATTCTGCTAGTACCATGAGAGAATGTGAATGGTAAATTTCTTAACTGAAATGGTCAAATCTGCTGCCAATCCAGATTTCTTAATGCTGGCAATAGATTTTACATCTCCCAGTTTCATTTCTCCCATAAACATTTTCCCTTTCTCTGGTACTGGCTTACTCGGAGGCGTACTGGAATCAAGGTTCTTCACCACTGCAATGACAATCAGAACAAGAACATCATTTGTTACTCTCATCTGTTTCCAGTTATGTTCTGATCATATTCACATAGGCTGATTACCATTACTCACTAAACTGGAATTAAGTCATCAAGTGAAATTAAGGAAGGATGAGTCAATGGTGACAGCAGTGCCTACAAAATTCTGTCAGGATTGCAGAACATACACTTACAACAGCACTAGGGGTATTAAACAGCCCCCTTAGGGCTTTCTCACCTGAAATGGCCATGTGGACATTCAGTAAAGTTTTCCCATGTGAGGTAGAAGACGGAGGCGAGGGGGTAGTGGAGGAAGGGGGAGGAGAAGGTGAAAGAGTTGAAGGGGGGTAACGGGCTTGAGGGGAATCTTCTGTCTCAGGATGCTGGTGGGGTTCAAATGAAATGGAAAGTCAGTCCACTGAAATGGACATGTACTACAGCCAAATATTAATCCCTTAAAGCACACTTTTCTGTCATAATTCTTCTGTTCCAAAATCTATTGGGTTGCCCATGAAGGGAACATTTTAAGGCATTATTTGAGCCACATTCTAAAGACCAAACGATACTTCAGTTTTGACGCGATTGCTAGCACATGTGTACAGCTGTACGTGTAGCCATTCAAAGTATACGTTGTGACAGAGTGTGCAAAAACAGACACTTGACACATACTCAACTACAAAGTTTCATAATTTTCCAGTGCCTGCTCCATAAGTTATGACAGAAAAATATGTTTTTTTACTCATTTAAACTAGAGTACACTTGCTCCCATCAATGCGGCCATCTTGTTTTGCGGCCTCCTGTAGTTTGTTGTTGTTTTGTCTCATTTGTTTCTTTTTCAACTGTGAAACAACAGGCCGGAACAGTGTTGCTGCCTAGTGGACAAACTAATTCGCACAAAAAGAATAAAAAATTCCAGGTGCTTGTTCGGGCTAAGCGTGTATTATGCTAATGTTGAAATTTAAAGTTCCTTTTTAGTATTTTCTTCTACATATATGCTAAAGTGCTTTAGTACATTTCAGAGAAGTTAAAGTCAATAAATAAGCTACATTCACATGGTTAGTGTTTACGGACTGACAATCATATTTACTAAGACGACTGGAGAATAGTTCTGTTCACACAACAGCTTTAGTATCAATAAAAAAAGTTAGATTTAAAATGTAAGTCTAACAAAAAGGACCATGGATTTCACTGGAAATGTGTGTGTGTTGTGTATTTTTATGCTAATGACAACTAATAATAATGCCTGCAACCATACTGACAGATATGTAGTAAATATTCAAGACAGTGAATTCCATTACACTGGAAATGTAAAATGTATGGAGGATTTATGACTAAACTAAACAACGACTGGATCTAAAACCTCTGCCTTTCCATCTCCATAAGTTATTGGATCCCAAAATATAAAAAATACATTGTGTCCAGTGCAAAGTGGATAAGTTTGATGTGATCACACAACAACTAGTTACGCAGTACGTTTCTGTTCTCACAGAAAGGTAACTGTACATCTTGAAAATGTAAGTCTGTTCGGTTATAGAATGCAGTTGTCATGTAACTCTATATAGCATTCTAATACAGGAATGACAACTGTATTCTGCTAGTACCATGAGAGAATGTGAATGGTAAATTTCTTAACTGAAATGGTCAAATCTGCTGCCAATCCAGATTTCTTAATGCTGGCAATAGATTTTACATCTCCCAGTTTCATTTCTCCCATAAACAGTTTCCCTTTCTCTGGTACTGGCTTACTCGGAGGCGTACTGGAATCAAGGTTCTTCACCACTGCAATGACAATCAGAACAAGAACATCATTTGTTACTCTCATCTGTTTCCAGTTATGTTCTGATCATATTCACATAGGCTGATTACCATTACTCACTAAACTGGAATTAAGTCATCAAGTGAAATTAAGGAAGGATGAGTCAATGGTGACAGCAGTGCCTACAAAATTCTGTCAGGATTGCAGAACATACACTTACAACAGCACTAGGGGTATTAAACAGCCCCCTTAGGGCTTTCTCACCTGAAATGGCCATGTGGACATTCAGTAAAGTTTTCCCATGTGAGGTAGAAGACGGAGGCGAGGGGGTAGTGGAGGAAGGGGGAGGAGAAGGTGAAAGAGTTGAAGGGGGGTAACGGGCTTGAGGGGAATCTTCTGTCTCAGGATGCTGGTGGGGTTCAAATGAAATGGAAAGTCAGTCCACTGAAATGGACATGTACTACAGCCAAATATTAATCCCTTAAAGCACACTTTTCTGTCATAATTCTTCTGTTCCAAAATCTATTGGGTTGCCCATGAAGGGAACATTTTAAGGCATTATTTGAGCCACATTCTAAAGACCAAACGATACTTCAGTTTTGACGCGATTGCTAGCACATGTGTACAGCTGTACGTGTAGCCATTCAAAGTATACGTTGTGACAGAGTGTGCAAAAACAGACACTTGACACATACTCAACTACAAAGTTTCATAATTTTCCAGTGCCTGCTCCATAAGTTATGACAGAAAAATATGTTTTTTTACTCATTTAAACTAGAGTACACTTGCTCCCATCAATGCGGCCATCTTGTTTTGCGGCCTCCTGTAGTTTGTTGTTGTTTTGTCTCATTTGTTTCTTTTTCAACTGTGAAACAACAGGCCGGAACAGTGTTGCTGCCTAGTGGACAAACTAATTCGCACAAAAAGAATAAAAAATTCCAGGTGCTTGTTCGGGCTAAGCGTGTATTATGCTAATGTTGAAATTTAAAGTTCCTTTTTAGTATTTTCTTCTACATATATGCTAAAGTGCTTTAGTACATTTCAGAGAAGTTAAAGTCAATAAATAAGCTACATTCACATGGTTAGTGTTTACGGACTGACAATCATATTTACTAAGACGACTGGAGAATAGTTCTGTTCACACAACAGCTTTAGTATCAATAAAAAAAGTTAGATTTAAAATGTAAGTCTAACAAAAAGGACCATGGATTTCACTGGAAATGTGTGTGTGTTGTGTATTTTTATGCTAATGACAACTAATAATAATGCCTGCAACCATACTGACAGATATGTAGTAAATATTCAAGACAGTGAATTCCATTACACTGGAAATGTAAAATGTATGGAGGATTTATGACTAAACTAAACAACGACTGGATCTAAAACCTCTGCCTTTCCATCTCCATAAGTTATTGGATCCCAAAATATAAAAAATACATTGTGTCCAGTGCAAAGTGGATAAGTTTGATGTGATCACACAACAACTAGTTACGCAGTACGTTTCTGTTCTCACAGAAAGGTAACTGTACATCTTGAAAATGTAAGTCTGTTCGGTTATAGAATGCAGTTGTCATGTAACTCTATATAGCATTCTAATACAGGAATGACAACTGTATTCTGCTAGTATCATGAGAGAATGTGAATGGTAAATTTCTTAACTGAAATGGTCAAATCTGCTGCCAATCCAGATTTCTTAATGCTGGCAATAGATTTTACATCTCCCAGTTTCATTTCTCCCATAAACAGTTTCCCTTTCTCTGGTACTGGCTTACTCGGAGGCGTACTGGAATCAAGGTTCTTCACCACTGCAATGACAATCAGAACAAGAACATCATTTGTTACTCTCATCTGTTTCCAGTTATGTTCTGATCATATTCACATAGGCTGATTACCATTACTCACTAAACTGGAATTAAGTCATCAAGTGAAATTAAGGAAGGATGAGTCAATGGTGACAGCAGTGCCTACAAAATTCTGTCAGGATTGCAGAACATACACTTACAACAGCACTAGGGGTATTAAACAGCCCTCTTAGGGCTTTCTCACCTGAAGTGGCCATGTGGACATTCAGTAAAGTTTTCCCATGTGAGGTAGAAAACGGAGGCGAGGGGGTAGTGGAGGAAGGGGGAGGAGAAGGTGAAAGAGTTGAAGGGGGGTAACGGGCTTGAGGGGAATCTTCTGTCTCAGGATGCTGGTGGGGTTCAAATGAAATGGAAAGTCAGTCCACTGAAATGGACATGTACTACAGCCAAATATTAATCCCTTAAAGCACACTTTTCTGTCATAATTCTTCTGTTCCAAAATCTATTGGGTTGCCCATGAAGGGAACATTTTAAGGCATTATTTGAGCCACATTCTAAAGACCAAACGATACTTCAGTTTTGACGCGATTGCTAGCACATGTGTACAGCTGTACGTGTAGCCATTCAAAGTATACGTTGTGACAGAGTGTGCAAAAACAGACACTTGACACATACTCAACTACAAAGTTTCATAATTTTCCAGTGCCTGCTCCATAAGTTATGACAGAAAAATATGTTTTTTTACTCATTTAAACTAGAGTACACTTGCTCCCATCAATGCGGCCATCTTGTTTTGCGGCCTCCTGTAGTTTGTTGTTGTTTTGTCTCATTTGTTTCTTTTTCAACTGTGAAACAACAGGCCGGAACAGTGTTGCTGCCTAGTGGACAAACTAATTCGCACAAAAAGAATAAAAAATTCCAGGTGCTTGTTCGGGCTAAGCGTGTATTATGCTAATGTTGAAATTTAAAGTTCCTTTTTAGTATTTTCTTCTACATATATGCTAAAGTGCTTTAGTACATTTCAGAGAAGTTAAAGTCAATAAATAAGCTACATTCACATGGTTAGTGTTTACGGACTGACAATCATATTTACTAAGACGACTGGAGAATAGTTCTGTTCACACAACAGCTTTAGTATCAATAAAAAAAGTTAGATTTAAAATGTAAGTCTAACAAAAAGGACCATGGATTTTACTGGAAATGTGTGTGTGCTGTATATTTTTATGCTAATGACAGTTAATAATAATGCCTGCAACCATACTTACAGTGAATGTAGTAAATATTCAAGACAATGCAATTTCATTACACTGGAAATGTAAAATGTATGGAGGATTTATGACTAAACTAAACAACGACTGGATCTAAAACCTCTGCCTTTCCATCTCCATAAGTTATCGGATCCCAAAATATAAAAAATAAATTGTGTCCAGTGCAAAGTGGATAAGTTTGATGTGATCACACAACAACTAGTTACCCAGTACGTTTCTGTTCTCACAGAAAGGCAAGTGTACATCTTGAAAATTGAAGGGAGTCTGTTCGGTTATAGAATGCAGTTGTCATGTAACTCTATATAGCATTCTAATACAGGAATGACAACTGTATTCTGCTAGTATCATGAGAGAATGTGAATGGTAAATTTCTTAACTGAAATGGTCAAATCTGCTGCCAATCCAGATTTCTTAATGCTGGCAATAGATTTTACATCTCCCAGTTTAATTTGGTGTATTATGCTAAATCACACACATACTCCAGTGTACATGTAAACACCTCTTAAAGTATACTTTGGGCTTTAGTCAGTATTACATGCATGCTCAGTGGAAAAAATGGTGGACAAAGTGTGAAAAATGTAAAAATTACAGTATAAAGATAAAATCCATTCAAAACCAAAATGTATCAATAATCACTAATGTGTGTTACTTATTAGAGTGTTAGCTTAGCAACATGCTGACAACAAACTATTTCAACTGACAGACGTGTGGGCGCATGAATCCGTTTCCACATATAGTGTTCGAAATCACTCCTTATGAGGTGCTACGCAGTTAGGACGCTGCCTTAGAAGACAGCTATACCTATGCAGGAATTAAGCAGGGAAACAGCTCACTGAATTGTGGAACAGATCTAATGGTATACTCTTTGTCATTCAGACAGTATTCTTTTTTCAAAAACGTATAAAACTCACCTTAAGACTGTCCATGTCTTTGTCTGTATTAGTGATCTGTCTGTAATAATCAGAGCTGGGTTGCCGTGACACAGCTGGTTTCTCTCTGAGCTCTTCCTCTATAGGACAGTTCTCTTCCAGAGGTTGGGCAACTGGAAAGAGCTGCAATACAAAGAGCTTTTATTATCATATAATATATACTGATTCAGGTAGTGTGCCATCAAAGCACATTATTTCACACAGACCTGTAAGGCAATGGAATAAAAGCCCAATTATTTTCATTTGATCCACTACACAGCAAAATATCAGAATCATACACATACACAGCTATTTGTGGTCTTTCTTTTGTGCAGTGTTGTGGTCCGCACAGCGATATGTGAGAATTACAGTAAGAGGGGCCCTAGCTGGGGGGCAAAATAGTTGTACCTGAGCCCAACATTTAGATCCCACTTTACCAGAGGGAAAATGCCGAGTATATGGAAACATTTAGATCACCGCTGATGAAACTGTAATATCCTAATGGACTCCATGCAGAATCCATATCAAATGTGGCTCTCAAAGGGCTCTCTGTAAAACACACACACATGCACTGTGCATCAAAGGGAACACTGATACGCCGCAGCATGCTATTTTGCTTTGTCTCTGTGAGGTGGTCCTCCCAATTTCCTCTTGCACGGCACTTTGATGTCCAAACAGCACGAAATGCGTTGTGACACAGCTTAGGCAAAGGCAGGAATAAATTTCCCAGAAGTTGTGCAATTCATAAATAGATAAACTTTGGGAGGGGTAATGTGGGTATATAGGGCAAAACTACATTAGCGAAGTGGAATTTCTTTCCTTCGCGATCTTTGAGCCACAGTTCAGTTCCTCACTCACGATCAGGATGCATCTGTCTCTGCGTGAAGGTTTAATCAAAGCCAGTGGACACCATGGCACATTTGGTTTTCATCAGCTATCCTCTTCTGTGGCTTAGGCAGTGGATGCTGGAGTAACATTGTCCTCCCATCCTCTCCTCTGCCTCATGGGCCACACAAACACTGATGGAGAGAGTGAGACTACAGCAAAAAAAAATCACAAAATCCAAAAGTCCTATAAGGTAATATGGTGGAAATCTGGTGCAAAGCAATTTAGAGTCTTTTTTCACCAGCTGCTTTGGACAGTTACTTAGGAGGGGGAGGCTCACAGATAAAAATCACTAAGACATGCAAGACTTTTATCTTGAAAATAAGTTAGCAGAACATCACTGAAGAGCTGACACAGAACAGAGACTGGGATATTTCTCAGTGTTCTGTTCTAGTACATTAAATTAAATTATTTGAGGGAAAAAGAATCAGAAAAGGTAGAAATATGAAGGCCTGCGTGGTTTGTGTAAGGTTTGGTTAAGGTTAAAGTCTCCACATATCTCTCTGCTTTCTGGAGGAATCCAAGACCACACACTTGTGTTGACATATAAGCAGTACATTCTGTGTTAAACAACTCTTACACCTTCAGTTAAAACACAAGATGACCATGTTTGACAGTTTTTAAATTTAGAGGATTGAGTGAAAACGGTCCAAAGTGTCTAGAGCAGCAAATCGTCTGTGCTGGAAAGTTTATGTTAAAAATGGAGAAAGAGTGATGAATGAGGTGAAGATGGCATTCTTTCTATGTTAGCTGTTTTACATAGAATTACGGATCAATTCTTTACTACAAATAACATAATTAAGTAAACAAGCTCAGGTAAACTTCTAGCCTATTAAGTTCTCATGTTTCGCAGATTAAACAGAAAGGAAAGGCTCAATAAAAACATACATGTTCAATGAATCATAATACTATGGGTGTACAGTTTATTGGTAGCATATTTGTTACTGGTCGATATTTATTATTGTTATTTTTTTACTGGTAGATATTGGATTTTTAGTTATGAATGCTCATTTCCCTTTGCCACCATGAAATGCTCACTTAAAGTTAATATTTAAAAACAGCAGCAATTTAACAACTTTTAATGTAACATTTAGCAAATATCTAAATAAATATAAATATTTCATACTGTACATTAAATTAGTGTGATGCTTAAATTCACTTTTAGCATTTAAAATGTCAAATGTTTATTTTTACTGTTTTATTTTGAATGTATTTTGACAACGTATTAGAGCATCTGTCTATAGAATATAGAATTTTAATATATTCAACCAATTAGATGTAAAAATACATTTCAATGGTCCAGTGATGAAATTGTAGAAGCCCTAAACTGTGAACTTTTAAAGCCGCAATAAATACACTGCAATATATTAATATAAGTTACAGAGTGACCTTCAATAAACCTTCAATAATCACGCTATGAAAACATTAATTTTATGTTATTTAAAAATGTTACATTCGGAATTATGAGCAAATTTAGTTCACATAAAATTAAAACAATTACAATGACCGTTTTGAAACAAAAATTTGTTCAACCAATGGTGAAATTTGCTCAAATACAGCAATTCCTGTGATGCATCTGAAATTAACAATAATTAAGCATTGTTCAGGAATAATTAAAACAACAACAACAACAATTCATTAGCTCTACAAACACAACATGTATATAAAAGCACAATAGTTACTTACAAACTATCGTCCTCTTAATTGTGGTCGATATCCACACAGGCAGCACCTGATCACTCTGTCACTAGACAGTGACACGCGATGTGAACACCCAGAGATGTGTTGACTACATCCACACCATCCCAACAACTGGCCATGGTCCAACAGACAATAAACAATAAACTCTGATAGGAGAATGCTCTTAATAATTTACACAGTGGATTGGGTAGCCGGCAATGTCACTAATGAACAAACCAATCGACATGGGAACAAGCGAGCAGTGTGATAGAAAGCAGGAGACTGTCAAATCAGAAGAAGCGGACAGAGACACCGTTTCTCTTTCATTCACATGTTGTTGTTTTTTATATCTCTGAGACCACATTAAACTGGGGATGTGACCTTACACACATCAACACCAATCACTAGAAAAAAAACATTCTCAAGTCTTAGCCTGAAAGATGGGGCTTTGCATGAGGACAGCCTTTCCATTATTTGTTTAATAATGTATGCCCTGGAAAAATAGGCGACAATACAATCAGGTCAGTTAATTTATTCTCTCCAGCATCCTAAATTTCAGCACGTCCAGAGTAAGAGCTGCAAGCCATCATGTAGGTATATGTGTGTAATATATAATAATTAATTTTTATATTTTTTGGGAGCATAAAGTAAAAAAAAAAGTACATTAAATTCAGTCTAATGGTGCAACCAACAAAGTTAAGCAGAAACGTGCAGGAGAAAAGAAAAAAAACAAAACAAGAAATAGTATCTTAAAGAGGACCCTCATGACTGTGTGTCAAGGTCAAAGTCAGATAATTTCAGCATTTTATGTAAAGGGAAGGTTGGTTCAAGTTTATCAATTTATAAATGGATGAATAATTCATGATATTTATTTATACAACAGTTCTTTCTGGCCCTCGCATTTAATTGGCTGAGAGGAGTGTGCTATTCTAGTGATAACAGAACTCCAACCGTTTCACCGTTTGTATCACTCCGCTTGCAATATTTCTCACAGCAGACGCCCAAAATAATACTGTTTTTGTATCAAATAATGTAGTTTTAAGAGTTTTTTAGGTGAGAATGTACTTGTTTAAACTTCAAATATGAGGTTTGTTAATAAATATAACGTTAATAAAGTTAATAATGATACATATATGATAAATATTAGAAAATTTCCTTTGATGTTTTCAGAGATGTGAGCTCCAGGTCCTCAGCGGCTGTTCAGCGCTCATGAGCCCACTGAAAGCAGATCTTCTGGAATTTGCTGCTGGCTCTGATATCTCTATAGTGGTTAGAGACATTATGAGATATTATTTGTTTTGGGTAAATCAATAATTTACACAGTGGATTGGGTAGCCGGCAATGTCACTAATGAACAAACCAATCGACATGGGAACAAGCGAGCAGTGTGATAGAAAGCAGGAGACTGTCAAATCAGAAGAAGCGGACAGAGACACCGTTTCTCTTTCATTCACATGTTGTTGTTTTTTATATCTCTGAGACCACATTAAACTGGGGATGTGACCTTACACACATCAACACCAATCACTAGAAAAAAAACATTCTCAAGTCTTAGCCTGAAAGATGGGGCTTTGCATGAGGACAGCCTTTCCATTATTTGTTTAATAATGTATGCCCTGGAAAAATAGGCGACAATACAATCAGGTCAGTTAATTTATTCTCTCCAGCATCCTAAATTTCAGCACGTCCAGAGTAAGAGCTGCAAGCCATCATGTAGGTATATGTGTGTAATATATAATAATTAATTTTTATATTTTTTGGGAGCATAAAGTAAAAAAAAAAGTACATTAAATTCAGTCTAATGGTGCAACCAACAAAGTTAAGCAGAAACGTGCAGGAGAAAAGAAAAAAAACAAAACAAGAAATAGTATCTTAAAGAGGACCCTCATGACTGTGTGTCAAGGTCAAAGTCAGATAATTTCAGCATTTTATGTAAAGGGAAGGTTGGTTCAAGTTTATCAATTTATAAATGGATGAATAATTCATGATATTTATTTATACAACAGTTCTTTCTGGCCCTCGCATTTAATTGGCTGAGAGGAGTGTGCTATTCTAGTGATAACAGAACTCCAACCGTTTCACCGTTTGTATCACTCCGCTTGCAATATTTCTCACAGCAGACGCCCAAAATAATACTGTTTTTGTATCAAATAATGTAGTTTTAAGAGTTTTTTAGGTGAGAATGTACTTGTTTAAACTTCAAATATGAGGTTTGTTAATAAATATAACGTTAATAAAGTTAATAATGATACATATATGATAAATATTAGAAAATTTCCTTTGATGTTTTCAGAGATGTGAGCTCCAGGTCCTCAGCGGCTGTTCAGCGCTCATGAGCCCACTGAAAGCAGATCTTCTGGAATTTGCTGCTGGCTCTGATATCTCTATAGTGGTTAGAGACATTATGAGATATTATTTGTTTTGGGTAAATCTAACGGGCAGTCTTTGGTCTCATTAATATATTATTTGTTCCAGAGAAAATAGTTTTGGTGTATTTGGTGTATATTTTGTGTAACTTTAATGCTGTACATCAGAGCACTGCCTTCGTACTTTTGACTGAGAATTGCCTAGCAGTTTTT